TGAGGGCACTCAAAAATGCTTGACTATCAAGTTCGAAGCTGCTGCACCACGACCACACTTGCAAACCTATTTTCATGTAATTATGTGATGTTTCACTGGGCTACCAGTGTGGTTGTTTTTATGTATTTCACAAAAAAGACGACAAAAAAACATAGGATGGAGTAAATAAATGCATGCATGAAAAGATTTGTGTATTCCCTCGACTCTTGATTTGGACATCTTTCTTTTAATTTTTACGATGAGCAGAAACGCGGGATTCCATTAAGGCTTCGGTTCAAGTTTGAGTGTACGTTTGCACGTAGCTTAAGGGCCAGTACGAAGCACAATCACTTTGAAGTTTGCAATTTAATGAACCAGCTTCATGTGACTATTTTTTCCCCCCAAACAAATACAGTCTTTGCATCCATCTACTCTAATTAGGTATCATGTTTCTTTGACATAGCGTGGTCCAATTTTGAATATAATATAAACACAATAAGAGACAGAAGGTTGCGGCAAGTGCTCATATTTACTTGATGGATCAGCCTAAACACATCGAGGAGAATAAAATCTGCAGCAAAATACATGAACAAATGACTAAATAACAACACTGAGGCTGTGACATCAGTCTGTCATACCTGTATAGAGTTACTTTGTCACATTTTGTCTTAATAGGCACACACACACACACAAATGACACCTGAAATGCACTCAGTTCGACCAAAAGGGTTCTCACGATAGCGCACCCTGACAGCCGCTGAGGTGATCAAATAGTTTCATCACAGATGCACTGCTTAACACCTAATGGTAGTTAAATTGGATGATAAGCCAGAGAGTAGGTCAACAGCTCAAAGTCCCTTCAAGCAATCTGTTGGGAATCCTCTAATGTAGCCAGAAGGTATTCCCGAAGTGGATGCTAAAACAATTTCTCGTCTTGGATTGCATCAACGGATTATCTTGAATTTAAGTGAGCTGCCGACATGACCATGTTGATTCTTTTCATTAAAAATGATTTCAGGCAGAACTTACGTTGACCTTTAACCCAAATCCGAAACCCATTTAGTCGAGCTGTGTCAAATATATAATGCGCAGTTTTTATTGACAAGGCAGTTTTTATTGACAAGTTAGAAATGTTTATTGTTATTATTATTAATATGACAAAGGCGGCACTGATAGCCGACTGGTTTGCTCGTCCACCTCACAGTACAGAGGTCCAGGGATGAATTCCGGGCTCCGGCCATTCTGTGTGGAGTTTGCATGTTCTCCCCGTGCCTGCGTGGGTTTTCTCCTGGTACTCAGACATGGTAGGTTTATTGACCAATCTTAATCATTCTGAGATGTGATTGTGAGTGTCCTGAGATGTGATTGTGAGTGTGAATGGTCGTTTGTTCCTTCTACGAGCCTCTCCCAGCAATCTACTTCCCTACGACTGCTGGGATACGCTCTCGCACCCCCCACAACCCTCGTGAGGAAAAAAACTGTTGAAATAATGGATGGATACTATGACAATGATGGTGATCGTTGGAGTTTTGCAGTGGATTACAAGTGCAATGGTTCATACTGTTTGACGCTATACTGCTCTCTGGAGGCGATCCTTAGTATCAGCTGGACAATTTAAGAGCATTTTTTCAACCAAAATTTAAGCGCTCTATCCAAATAACCCCCCTCCCCCCCTATATATACTGTATGTGTGTGTGTGCATGTGTGTGTGTGTGTGTGTGTGTGTGTGTGTGTGTGTGTGTGTAGATAAGATAAGATAAGAAAACCTTTATTTGTCTCATAATGGAGAAATTCCCAATTTACAGCAGCAAAATTATGAAAGGGAGAAGTAGAAGAACAAAACGTATATAAATAACTATAAATTATAAAATTTATATTATATATATATATATATATATATATAAATCCACTTGTTGCCATTCATTCAAAAGAATGATAGCTATGTTCAACTAAACTGTCACACTGACAGTTTAGGGAAAATCAAGACAAGATCATTCTACCAGGATAAATTTTTAAAATGTTAATTTTATGCTTGGGCTTAGAAAAAAAAGGCTGTGAAACACTCAGGGACCGTTTGAGATCCAACTCTTGCTTCACTGTCAGTGTACCCAATATTATGAGCATTGAGTGTTCAATATAATTTGCACATTAGAGGTTTTACGCCGTGTTGTTTTAAAAATGACGTTTAACACTGCTTGAAATACACCCATAACAAATGTGAGACGCAAACCTTAAACACATTAGCTCAACTAGGATTCATGGGACTATACAAAACGCAGTGGGACATCTATCCTGTGATGCAACCCTTTATTTTCTTCACACATACTGATCCTAATTGTCGGGCTGAGAGCACATGCACTGTAATTTACTATTGCAGAGAAGCGCCCCCGGACACCTGCGTGCCATTAACGATTGTGTGAGGAATAGCACCCGCAGAGAGGAGCCTCACTTCTGCCCGTCATTTAACTACTTGGACTAGATAGAAGACTGCTGCATGCTGAGGCCTTAATAACAAAGTGCATGTAATTCCAGGCAGATGTTCACCATTGAACAACAGCCTTGGATGGCCTTCACTGATGAGCTCTGCTAATGGAAACCTTTTTAGCCTCTCTTAAACATAAACGGCAGTTATAGTGAAGCCATCATTCTCTCTGACATATAAAGAATACAGTGATGAATACATTTTATCATCAGCCTTATTTAATATTCTTCCTTGGAACAAGTGCCATCTCATGATAAAGGTTTTGGAATATGGTTGCAATATATTGACAACCAAATTTAAATACTGTCACACGTTCGATTTACGTTTGGAGGAAAAAAAAATGTCGGGCCGGGTCTGGCCTTAACGTTGAGAATTGGAGCGTTCAATAAACAACATTGAGTCGTCGAAAAGTAGAATGATAGTTTCTCGTTAAGGAATCTATTCCTTACTGTGATTTTTTTTTTTTTTAAGCCCCTCTCTGTTGTTGTTTCTGTTCAAACACTTGAAACAAAGAATGTAAAATGCCGTTGAAGGTATTTCCTGCTTACTTTTGTGCCCCTTGACCCCCACCTCGGGAGAGTCCCTGAAGCCCGTCAAGTTCCCCCGGGGAGGGACTCTTATCTCAAGATTTACGCACAGCGGGAGAGGTCTGGACTTTCCCAGCATGCCAAGATCGAATTGCATCGACCTTTCTTTGTCTCCGTTATTTGCATGGAGGCGTAACTCCCCGCCTCCCATGATCATATTGTCTCTATATATTCTCATGACTGTATTTTTTCTGGGCTTCCTGACAAAATCTGAAACTCTCAGGAATCGATTTGTAAACTGCAGAAAAGAAAAATAAAACCTTCGAAGGTACCGTTCATCGTCTCCAGCCTGTATTTGGATAACCGACATCCTCATCATCCAAAATTAACGAACACGCGGAGGAAGAGAAAGGCCGACTCCCCCCCAACATCGTCCCCCAAAAATTGCAAAGACTGCATCTTGTCTTATAGGATACACACCACACTTCAATTTACACTTCCCTTTCTACAAATCTACTCTGAGGTATTTAACAATAAACAGTGCTGGCATTGTGCAAAACATGAATCTGGGCTCTCCAAACAGCAGGATCTTCTTAGTTAATTTTATGGATGATCAGTATCGGGGTCTCGGGCGTACAATTTAATTGAACTAGAATGTCTTCTTTGTCGTGGCTTTGTCAAAACAAAGATAATTGACAAGCCATTCGTGGGAGTTTTAAATATGACCACGTATTACGTTAATTGTCTGAATGGGATGAAACAGCCACCAGGAGGGATTATCCTGCTGGTTTTTGTGATGGAGATAATCCAGGTAACCCGCATGGCGCACACTTTAATGTTCTCCCCAAGAACTTCTAATTCATTTAGCATTCTCTCTTTTGCTTTCTGCTTTCTGGCTTTGAATCACCGCTGACATGTTTTGTTTCTTTTTTCCATGGACGCAAGGATATCTATATAGGAGAAAATATGGCCTTTTAAAAATTGGGCTTCTAATAGTCAAGACGGGTTTGTGCAATAATTTAGTAAGACTACATTTCTTGCCCAATTTCTTTTCATAGCTGTCTGATTTAGTGTTTGTGAGCGCATCTCCTTTGCCGGGTTAACTCGCGCACCTCAAGATGCTGATTCGACAGCATGATTATTGCACAGGAGTGTCTTTGGCTGCCAACAGAAATGGCCGTTCTCATTACAAAAGTGGTCGAACTGCACATTTTGAACGTGCCCTTTCAATGTGGGCAGACTGAGGCATGCCTCTGCAATAATTAGTCTGTCTCGCGAAGTGATCACGAACACATACTTAGATTTGTGAACAATAGATAAGAGAAATCGGCCTTTGCGTACATTGAAATAGCCTCGGATTTTTAAATTCAGATTTATTTTTGCTTTAAATTCAAATCCAATCAAGGCAATATCGCGACACTGAATTTTACCAAACCAATCTTTGGAAATAAAACTTTTTGCATGTGGAAAAATGCATTTTGTTTACAATCTTACAATAAAGATGAAGAAGATATCATAGAAAATAACTGCACGTTTCTAACGAGATAAATAATGAAGATGAAATTTGGTCTGACTGTACTTAGCGCCACTCAAAATCCTTTCAAGAAAATTATTTTGAATTCCATGGCAGTGATCATGAAAAATGCAACGCTCAACAAAAATACTCTGTCTTTTTGGAGTCGTTTCTTAAATCAATGAGCAAATTTTGAGGGGCAATTTTTTTGCAGTTTAATCCCAGGTACCCGAAGCAAGGGTTTTAATAAACACTAAAAAGACAACAATTTAACAAATGAACAATCCGTTTTCTTTTCTACCTCTTAAATTGCAGCAAGCTGTGTTTTCTCTTCTGGAAACATTTTCAGTGGGGGCACTTAAGTACCAATCTAAATTTTAGTCGACACTTAGTTTTTCCAAATTGGTTGTCTTGTCTTTCAGCGAAACTTAATGAATGAATTAAAAAAAAAAAAGATGAGACATACTGCAGTTACAGCAATAATGTGCTTGCACACAACACCATTTGCTCTGTTTTTTATTCTTCCATACAATTGTTATACATCTGTACGGATCAAAAGATAACACATTTCGATACCAGACATATATACTGTAATAACATATAAACTACGCACATTAGCTGACTTAGTACCACCACATACATTTTCCATTTATTCACACCTCTTTTTGTTTTGGAGCGTGTTGTTTAGATTGAAATCATAGTGGTCAGGAAAGATGACGTCAAAAGTTTTCGATGTATGAAAACAAAACAGTTTTACTGTAATACAAGTGTCAAATTAATCCATTTAACATCAAGCAAAACGACTTGTCATTGCAAATGATCACAGGGCCACTCCTTTACCGTCTTACATGACTGGCTGGCCGAGATAGGTTTGCGGGAGGCCCTGGCTCATTTGTGATTGGTTGAAGCTGCCTTGCCGGTACGCCTGCATCCCTAAATCCTCTTTTGTCTTGTTGAAGTGGTTGTGTTTGGACGGCTGAGGACCAAAATTCTCCTCTTGAATTTCAAAGCTGCTCTCGCTGTAGAGTCGCTGACGCATTTCTCGTTTTCCCGAAGTGCTCCTGGTGGGATACCTCTGCCCCATCTTGTACCAGCCTGTCTCTTTAAAGACAAACCAAATGTTTCCAGCCCAAAGGATGACGTTGATAAAACCAAAAACCTGGTGGGAGAAAATCAAAAGAATGTATCATAGTTGGGCTGATGCTGAGAATCAAACTGATATTTATGCTACGTATATTTAATACAGAGACGTGACTCAACTGAAAAATTCATGTGGAAAAAATGCATTTTGTCATAACCGTCTTAATCCTAATAGTTGTGTTTTGGAGTAATTTCCTCTTCGCGGGTCCTTCCTTACGTTTTTTGTACGGTGGCATAGCTTTATCAATCTCTTTGTCATTCAAAAGGCATAGTGCCATAAAATAATTTTGTCGTTATGATTGAACCCCAGGAGCTCAGCCTGGCAAATGCCAGTGCAAAAATGTTGTAACTCAACCCCCCCAAATAAGGAATACAAACATAATGTGTTGTTTTTTTGATACTGCTGCTGGATTGTTTGATCATTCCCTCAGGGAAATAAGATTTGCTTCCTCCATTGTAAAATTGTGGTTAAAAAAATAAGGACACATTGAGATGATGAGAGCAACATTGGAAGTTAGCGCGGTAGCCTAAATCAAACTTTCAGGCAGCCCGGTGGGCGAGTGGTTAGCACGTCACCCTGACAGGGCCGAGGTCGTGGGTTCGACCCCGGCTCCGGCCTTCCTGTGTGGAGTTTGCATGTTCTCCCCGTGCCTGTGTGGGTTTTCTCCGGGTACTCCGGTTTTCTCCCACATTCCAAAAAACATGCATGGCAGACTGATTGAACGCTCTAAATTTTCCGTGAGTATGAGCGCGGATGGTTGTTCGTCTCTGTGTGCCCTGCGATTGGCTGACAACCGGTTCAGGGTGTCCCCTGCCGACTGCCTGGAGACAGCTGGGATAGGCTCAAGCACCCCCGCGACCTTGTAAGGATCAGAGAGTTGGAAAATGGACGGATGAGTGGTTAACCATGATTTGCTGGCTGCTCTCAGTCTCCTCACCCCCTTCCTCATCTGTGTCACCTGCTCCCTGATTATTTTGCCCTCACCTGTTATCACATCCCCAATCAAGCCCTGTATATATTCCCCTTGTGTGGCTTGTCTCATTGTCAGTTTGTCAATTCTACCCAGGTCATGTTGCAATGCTTTTGTTTTGTGTCATAGTCTTTTGACCCTGTTTTTTTTTTTTTTTTTGCCTCATGCCTGTAGTACCTCTGCCTGATCATTTTGTCTTTCACATGTACCAACCTTCGCCTGGACTAAATGTTTTTGCCCTCTCCAATTTGAGTCCAACCCACCCGTACCTAGTTCTTGACATTGATAACATAACGCCGGTACATGAATGCAATACATGTATTTATAAATCACTGAAGATGATTTATTTCAACTCACCACAGATGTGTTGAGCCGAGACCAGTGAGGTTCCTGGGCGGCTGTGCATTTGTTCTCCTGAGCCGAGCAGGCAGGGATGAGCAGCAGCACCTTGGTAGGCTTGGTAGCCGTCTTGATATCTGAAAGCGCTTTGGCCCAACAACAACTACTGACGAGCCACATGAGGGAGAAGATCACTGTCACCACAAAGTCCTGCACACCAGAAGGAAGAGGACAAATGCCGCCTAAATTAATCCAACAACTCCTCGCCTCGCTACGTGAGAGACCGAAAAGTCACTGACCACAGGTGGGCCTCTGTTGTTTTTCAAGTATTTGTTCTGGTAAAAGACGTAGACAACAGTTGCCAGTAGAGAGTAAAGGAACGTGATCACACCCACGGTGACAAAAAACTGAGCAGAGGAGGAAAAGTCGCCATCCAGGAAGAGAATTTCCTCCCTCTTTGTTTCACATAGCGGAGCCCTGAAATGCACTTGTTGCAACCTGTCAAGAGAAAATATAGATTGTGATAGGATGGTTAGTTAATTTTACAGATAAGACATACTGTTCCTGTTTGTACGTTAGAGTTTGATGATTTAGTTTTATCTTTACCCTGTCACAATCCGCATGTAGTCGGGGCGCAAACTCACCCGTGACCCGAATGTGGACAAACGCTATAGAAAATTGATGGATGGCTGTTTTACCTGAATTCTGCTTTAAGCTCGGGAACATTTGAATGCTAGAAAGTCACGAAACAAAAAGTGATGTTGCTTTTCCCCTCAAGCTGAACTGTTAACAAGATGTTCGGCTCAAAGTGACAGTGACTGACAGTGAGACGTTCGCTGTCACCGTGCCAACAAAAAAAAAAAAAAAAAAAAAAAAAGACCCCACCCCCCAATTATATTGC